ATCTATCTATCTATCTATCTATCTATCTATCTATCTATCTATCTATCTATCTATCTATCTATCTATCTATCTATCTGTCTGTCTGTCTGTCTGTCTGTCTGTCTGTCTGTCTGTCTGTCTGTCTGTCTGTCTGTCTGTCTCTCTGTCTGTCTGTCTGTCTGTCTAGCAAGCTATCTAGCTATCTATCGAGCAAGCCAACCATTTTTCATAGAGTGCATGAGAACAGATTTGCCTGTAAGCCCTTCAGTGGAGCCAGAAATCTTTCTTCAGCTGAACTGCAGCTCAGAAAGTCACATTGACCTTCACCCATTGTTGCTTGTGTCTTTGTCAGAACTCTTGGTTTTATTTCTTCCTCAGTCTTTTCTGTCAAATGGAAGTTCTGTGATTTTAGTGGCCTCCTATGGAGTTCCTTGAGCTCTTGTTATGACCTGCTTTATGTGTCCTGCTACAAATGGAAGTCGTGTTACGCTTGGGTGGATCTGCCTGCTCAAATGTTTTCCCCACTGCACTGCCACACAGGCTGAGATTTCAGGCTTCAAGAGCAATATTTAAACTGCTCTATATGTGCATGTGAAGCTGTTTGTTATGACTCCTGCCTTTCCACAGAGTCTCTCAGCTTGAACATATGCTGCCTTCCCCTCCTCAGAAGTTCTGACTTTTTCTGTTCTGAAAGTTTGGAAATCTTAATTATGATGTACATTCAAGTCAATATGGTCAGAATCAAAGTGATGCAGAGGTAATGTCACTTGGCCAAAATAGAAAGCATTTTTAGCACTAGTGTAATGAAATGAAGAGCAAAAATGTTATGTATTTTATTATTCCTGTCACCTCATAAAGGTAATTAAATAATCACTGTTTTTCATTAACAGCTCATAAATTGTATAGAACCTAAGCTTTACAGTCAACATTTACCATTACAACTTATAATTAATACCAATCTTTCATTATCATGTTTTTAAGAACACCTCAGAGGAATGAACGGGAGATTTCAGACAGATGTGCTCATAAAGTGGTAAAAAGTGATTGAATGGTTTTGTTACATGGGCTAGAATGACATTTCAACGCTTTAAAAAAAAATCTTATCTGCCATATCTCTTTAAAGAATCTGTTAAATTATAGCTGCAAATCGTGACTTCAAGTAATACGATTATGTGAAGAGAACTGTTCCTAATGTTTCAACAGCACATTCACTATGAAAGTATGAACTCTTAGTTCCCATTCAGTCAGTCACGTTCTACGTTACGTCAGTGACTGACGAATTGGGATCTCGCCCGAGAGCCCAATCCCCTTCGAGTGTTAACTAAACAAGCCAATGACAGTTGGCGTGCGTGTTTCGCCACGCGCACCCCGCCCCGCAGTGCGGGTATAAAAGGAGAGCGCGTGCAAACGCACATCAGCTTTTCGCTTCGGAGCCGAGCCTTCTACAGGACGAATCTCCGCGAGTGTTTGAGAGAAACAGCTGGCGTTGGTGTGACGGCGTATCAGCGGGGGTTGCCATCCAGGCTGCTGAAACCTCGGCGGGCTGCAGCTTCCATTCTGCGGTCTCGCCGCGACCTCCCCTGGGCGCTTCAGCGCTTTTACTAAAAGAGTGTTTTTCCTCCTAAAATAGCAAATTCTAAAAAGAGCTTCACGAGCAACGGGCGTCTTTTTAAAGATGGCTTCCCGCTCGTGCGTTTCTGGATGTGGTCGTTTCCTGCCTC